GGAAGGCTAGGGTTGGCAAGTCCCTCTTTGTTTCCCCCGTCCACGAGAGGAACCCCAATGCTATTGTTCCCCACCCCAGGTAAAGCCCCTTGATAAAAGCGTTTTTTTACAAGTACCGCCAACCATGCATTGTTGTGGAAGCGCGCGAGACACGTGCCATGAGCGGGTGCTCCACCGCCATTCGCTTCCAAGGCCCGCTCATTTCAGTGCTGCGCCGCCATTTGCTTCCAAGGGCCGCTCAAGACATGGGCCTCGTGCACTCGCGCATTTGACGCTACTTGCAAGACAAACGCAAACACATCGAGGGGCTTTAACCCCAGGTGGGGGGTTATCGCCAGAGCCTCCGTTGCAGCAATGAAGCCGGCAGGGCGCACCACGAGTAGGTGGAGGTTGACTTCCCACGCGGCGACAACCTCGCGGGCTGACACCCATGCGGTTGTCGCCACATGCGAACTACTTGCCGCAGCTCGGTAATAATAGGGCTTCGCAATGTAAATTGCGGATCGCCAGGACACCGGTAAGCACGACGATCGAGCAAGGTGATATAGGAGGTTATGCGTGTTCTAACCACGGTGGTTCTAACTGAGCAAAGCGCTGTCTCGGCTATCCTAATTTTGCGCGCTAAAGGTCACTTTTAGTTGTTTTATTATTTTCTTTCGTTTTTAGTGGCCGTCGAGGAGGCTGAGGAACGGGATTCGGTTTAGGATTCGGTAAAGCCCCTTCATGTTTTAAAGTAGTGCAAGGTGCGTCGATGCAAGAGGCACGTGCAACGTGCAGCTCTTGGGAAGATCATGGTGGCACAGCGCTACAGTGTACTAGTACAATGTAATAAAGTAGAAAGTTGGGCTAGTTGGTTTTGGTTATACACTACTCTGTTCTATCCGGTGTGTCTCTTCCCTTTTGTCCTTTTGCGCTGTGTATTTGTCATTATGTATAGTACAAGGTACTAACAGCGAAGCACTGATCTAGATTTCAGACGCCATGTTCTTACCAGAAGTGGCGCCAGGCACGTGTCTCGAGCATTTCCACAATAATGAATGGCGCCACTTTTCCCAGGACAGAGGGGCTTTAGGATTCGATGCGGCGCTGGCAGGCGTAGTGAAACTTTTACAGACCCTTTTCATGGCAATTGCCACCAGGCAATGCTCCAGTCTTTAACGCCCTTTATAACGCCCCAGTCAACGTTTCTGGAGCAAGCTCAGTTTCGCAGCTCCCTATTCTCGCCTGCAGAGGCGAGTGGCCCGTGGCGGTCACGAGAACTAGCGGCGCTGCAGTCGGATGTTGCTTCCCTGTCTCGCGCGTCGTTTACTATACTCTGTTTCACCTTATGATGTACCGCAGGAAAGGCTACAAGCGCGAGCTCCTTGCTCTAGGGCACATCTCGGCGGCACAAGCTCTCGTGCGTTAAGAGCAGCCCCCAACGCTATGAGCTCGCGCTTCTAGCCTTCTCTGCGGTACAACATAAGGTGAAACGGAGTATACCAGCGCGTCGAGAGCTTCCTTTTCTTTTTCTTTTCTTCCTTTTTTTTCTACTTCCATGTGTATAATAGCAATAAAGATGATGAAGATGAACTGTAATGCACCACAGAGATCAGAGGCAGCGCATTGTGAGTGTTCTCTCTTTGAGTGTTTGAAATTTATTTTTGTGTGCGTCTGTTTCCTTGCGCTGTGAAGTGTTAGTATGAATTGCCATCTCGCCCAAGCTCAAGTATTGCTAATGAAGCTTCGCGGGCTAGACAATCCAGAAGTAAGACTCGACTGCAGCGCTGCTAGTTCTCGTGACCGCCACTGAGCCCACGTCGCAGGCGGAGCTGTGAAACTGAGCTTGCTCCAGTAACGTTGGCCCCAGTAACGCCCCAGAGAACTTCCGGTTCACAAAGAGAATGAACAAGGCCCATCTTAACACCGCTGCTTGAAAGGTCGATAAAACGTTTACACCACCGATTCTCCGAGTGAACGGAAAAAGAACGAAGACGCGCAAGATCTGTTAATTTTTTTCGAATACCCTTGTAATCCAACTTGCCTTATCCAAGACACTAAATTGCACAGCCGAAGGCCCTTGTTACTTTCGCTGAATACTGCTCAGAATTACTCGCGAACGTTACTAACCAAATAAGCTTGCCTTAGTTTTTCTTTTGAAGCAATGGCAGTCGGCAAATAAATTCGAGAAATATGAGCATCCCCTCTACTCGGAGCGAGAACAAGCGACCACGTGGCTCGGTGCGAATCCTACGCCGCCAACGTTAATCATAGCCACGCGCTGGGATCAGCAAAGTAGCTAAAACGTGTGCTGGGCACCAGGCATCGTTAAAGTTCGGCTATTCTCATCATCGCAGTGGTCGGATACGAGCCAGTACCCAACTGTCCGCCGAGGCATTCATTGTTTCGAGCGGAAGTGGAGTGCTCACGCAGCTCTCGTGTCCAATCCATGATTGTACACGAGCCACCAGCACGCCTCTGTAAAGTCATAAACATTCTAAACTGATTTGGTTTTCCTGACCGCTTTAAATCTCTAACTGTGTTGTGCGTGTAGCATTTAGGCTTTCTAGCACAGGTGACGTAAGCAAACTCGACAGGCTTGCAAATATGAAGATAAGGGAAGTCGCTTGGGACGCAAGCGGAAGTTTGTTTATAAACAGCAAAAGGGTCTATACACGTTTGCAGGAAAGGCTTTTGTGCGCTGACATTGTAAGCAATGCTGGCGCCGCGTAACGTTTCCGCCATGTTGAGGTGGGCTAGGGGCTCGTCATTTAGGTGGGCGAGGGCAAGATGGCGGCGTCTGCTGCATCGCCGATGGCCGACGTTAGCGCACGTGAACGACGTACTTACTGTTTCGAAACGTAGGGTATACGTATCCTTTTCCTTTTAACTGGGATGAAAATAGCCTCGTAGATCGTGCTGCAAAAGTTTCCAAAGTCAATAAAGATTCGTTCTGTTTTTTTTTTTTTTTTTTTTTTTTTTGTACTCTTGTATTTTTTTAAATATATTTTTTTTCTCTTTCGCCAGCGACTCTTGGCAACATTGTACGCCAAGCAGCGAACATCCTGGCTGGGGAGTAGGTCCGCCTCACCTGGGGGGCTATGTTGCACGTTTTGGACTCCCAGGAGACTAGGCAGAAGGAAGTGACGTCAACGATACAGCAAATGCAGATTGAATGTTGACAGAAGAAAACAAAATCAACCTCCAAACTACATTTGCTGCGTTGTTGACGTCACTTCCTTCTTCCTAGTCTCCTGGGAGTCCAAAAAGCGCAACAAAGCACCCCTGGGCGCGCGGTTTAAGGGTAAGCCGGGATCCCACTTGCAAAGGTGTATACATCATTCCAATATGTAAAAGCCCACAGCCCAGCGTGCAATCTCCTCAGCCCTGCACGCGCTTGTTCATCACTTCGGAAAGCGAGCAAATCACGCGCCATACGAAACGAACATTGAAAATGGAACCGGCCAGGAGCCCTTTTTTTGGAAATGTATGTTCGCCTTAAGGATTCAGGGGATTCAGTCGACACGGCTCATGCAGTGAAAAGCAGAACTATGCTTTGTTTAACACTTATAGACGCTTTACACACGCGCCAAATTACAGCCGCCATTGCTGACCTTCTCTTGTCTTACCGAGATGCCGAGCAACTAAAACGGTATAGTTGAAGATCCTCTACAAAGGCCGAGGCTTTAGAAAAGGACACAGTTGAATCTAATATGGCAATAACCTGGCCTGCTATGGTAATGATAAAGTGAAATAAACGGAATAAGAGGAAACAAAAACTGAAGGTCAGTTATGGCGGCGTCCATGCACAGCTGCTGCAAAGCGTCTATACCCGTGCCACACGGGCAACATCGAATGCCATTTACAACGAATGCCATTCGAACGATCGGCCAATCAGCGCGCGACACTCCGAGCGTGGGGCGCTCCACGCGCGACAGATTGCGAGCCGATTCGTTGATCACACGAATGTCATTCGTTGTAATTGGCATTCGAGTTGCCCGTGTGGCACGGGTATAATATTGGAGCAGGACGAATGCTACGCACGCGAGGCCGAAGCCATGGGAGGCGCAAATGCAGCGCTCGCACACTGAAATCAACTAAGAGCTCGTGCTTTGAAATCTTGGCCGTGTTCTGTGCCGTTATTGTGGATGCTTTGTCTCCACCCGCGTTGTGGACAGATGGAATCACCAGGTGCTTCATAGAGAACCATGGATAAACAAAAGCACACTTCCACACAATGCATTCTGGATCTCGCGACCAATATGAAACTGATTGTACAAGCTTGGAGCACGTGGAGCGAAAACTCGCGCTGCAGAACCCAGGGATCCTGAGTTCAATTGCCACCCCTGCCCGTTGAGGTCTGGATGAGCATCGTGTATTACTTGTGTATTACTACTACTATACATTGTGTATTACTACTGCGTCATTTAGTTAAAGATCTCAGGCTAGCAGTCTTACTGCACTGGATAAATTTCTCATCTACAGGAAAGTTAACAATGTCATTTTCTGGCAGACTAAACACCAACTGTCTAGCGAAGCATACTCGCTGACAGCTTTATCTGGCTATGCAGTGGGCGCTCGTGCAACTTGAGCTCCGAACAAAGCTGTACACGAGCACTTTCCACTTCTAAAATGCCAGAGAAAGTTGTTTGCTGGTATCACCAGTATGACGCCCAATTTTTTCAAGCTTATCCTTAATTCATGAAATTGCCGAAATCAATTTTAAATCCTTCGCCCTTCTTGAACAGAAAACGAAGCGCTTAATATTTTTTCTTTCTTGCCGTAGATTTAAAGAGCAGTACTGTCGTGCGCGCTGGGACCAAAAAACAAAAAAAGGAAAAAAAAAAGCGGCAGTCATAACAACATTAACTAACAACGAGGAAGAGGCGCACGCTGCGTGACGACGGGCTGTTCTTTTTGACCTCGAGGCTTGAGCTGTGCAGATTGAGCAATCGGTTTGGCTAAACGGCGGGTCAAAGAGCGTCGGAGTACAAATATCGCATTCTGCGGTGACCCGCACCATGGGCGAATTCAGCGGGGACAAGTCTCCGCGCCTCGGGGACAAAGAGACGAGACCCGTAGTCGCGGAACCGCTGGCCGACTTCATGGAGGAAAAACGCCTCGAACGAGTCAAGAAGTTGGTAAGCTGGTTAACGGGACATCCACGCTTCGTATGAAAGCGTGGCAAACCAATTCAAAAGGTAGCTTCGCATGCGACACGAAGCTTGAATGGCATCGCCAGATATCTCAACGTAACGTTAGAAAACGTAGACGGACGTATAGTGCGTGAGTGAGGCTTACATGTCATCTAGCGTAACCGCGTGACTAAGTTCATTTTTCACAAGTCGTGTACATGGAGTTCTATCAAAGGTGCAGGCGAGAAAGCGTGTTCTTGTTGAACTACGAAAACTCACAAAAATGAATCCCATTCTGCGCCCGTGCCTTTCAGAACGTCGCGCAGATTTTATTAATAGTGCAATGGCAATTTTACATACTTCAAGCAAGCCTACTCAGAGGCGCGCGGAACGAAGTTAGTGGGTCACCTGATTTCTTCGTTCATGTGGCACAGACTACGATAATTTTCTTGACTATATGGTTGGCTTATATGTTGTTTTCGTCAAAGTATACCCTACTTAGTCGAGTTCTGATAGACGCCAGGCAAGGGTGGAAGTAGTTAACTCCTTGTCTTGCTGTACGGTGCTCACCAAACTTATAAGGAACTTGCGAACGTTGTTTTATCTAGTGGAAGCGTTATCCTGGTGGCACACAAAGGACTGCAGCATGACGTAGCGCTGAATGGAACTTTCTGAGCAGGGGAGGCCGCTCTTGCTCAAGGCCAAAATCGCCGCTAGACTACGAACAACACAGAAATTTTCATGCAAGGCGATCTACGATTCTCACCCCATTCACTAGGAATATCCAGTGCTTACTGACTGAATCATCCAATCTCTGACTTTTTCGACAATCACCTACGAATCTTCGTGCAAAAAGGTAGCGATAAAATATGTTATCTAGGAGGAAAAATTGCGGCGGTGTACACGGTCCAGCGAGAGTGACCTCCCCGACACTAGGATCGCGCTCCGATGAGATAAGAAACCGTTCGCGTGTTCCGGATAAATTTGGTGAACACTGTAAGGCCCTCAATATTTACTTTTATGTGATTGAGATAGGACCAAACAAAAAAAATCTATCTTGGTTTTATCCGCGCGGACAGGTGGAGGTACTCGCCCGGGAGGGGCGCCAGAGAGATCCATCGTTTCCCGAAACTCTCTCCTTCGGACGTGTCTTAGGCGGCGTCATCGCGGCCATCATTGTAGTCGGCCTGGTATTGGCAGTCGTCGGGATTGCCTTTAAGGTGCTCAAGGCAAGAGCCTCTACGAGAAAGGTCAGGGCAGAGTACTGCAGGACTCCGGGTTGCTCAAGGCACGCCGGGCTCTTCTCCACCTTAAACGACAGCCTGGATCCGTGCACGGACTTCGGCAATTACGTGTGCTCCAGCTGGCAACCGCTTCAATCGTTCGGTCAAGAACAAAGCGCCGAATTCGACATCAAGATCCAGTGGCTAACAAAAGTAGACAAGCTTCTGCAGAATAGGTCACCGAAGTCGAAAGCTTTAAAGATGGCGTCGAAAATGTTTAATGCTTGTTTGTCAAACGATAGCGATTCGGAAAAGAGGAACCGCGAAACCCTCGCTCAGTTTCTTGAGACGCAAAGACTTTCTCTGAAACCTGGAGACGACCTGCAACCTCTGGACGTCCTTATAAACTTCGCGGTGAGCTGGCAGACAGATTTATGGTTCAAACTTAGTTTCCTGAGGGCCACCCAGGACCGGAACCGAAGAATCCTCATCGAACCCAGCGTTCACCACTGCGGTAATACACTCATTTCGGGGATTCTGAGGGATTACGTCCTCTGGAAAAAATTCTTAAGTTTCCTACTGGGCCACAACAATTTCAGTGAGGAGCAGTTTAAAATGGACTCCGACGTAAACGAGATGCTTTGCCTCAGTTGGAACGAAACGCAGCAGCCAGCCATTTTTGCTCTGGGGACCATCGCCACCCAAGTTCCAGCCTGGAGCGCCGCATCATGGATCAGGGCGCTTGACGGCTCAATTGCAGACAACCAAGGGTGGTTTACCGGTGACGACGTGGTTGTTGTTTCGGACACTTTACATTTAAGAAAAATCAAGAACTTGACAGCAAAGTACGAGCCGAAGAAAGTGTTGCCACACTTGACTCGGTGGATGCTACTTTCTCACTTGGAATTCTCGTACGGCAGCATTATAAACGTTATAATCGGTCAACGAAGCGACACTACGAATATAACGAGGCTTTTCTGTGCGCAGTCGACGGACCAAGCGTTTGGGCTCCCCATTATGTACAAGATTGTAGCAAATACTACAAAAGACATTTACAAGCTGTTGACATACACGCTCGTCGCGGCGAAGCACGCATTTGACACATCTCCGTGGATCGACGTTGATAGTCGGGCTCTAGCCAAGCTGAAACTGACGTACATGGACCTCAAGTGGCCGTACACAGGTAGACAGAACTTATCCAACATCGAGAAGATATACACCAAAGGGACACAAGAGCCGGGAAACTACATAGAATACGTCCTCGCCTCCAAACGAGCGATGAGCGAGATAGCCCTCTTGAGGAAGGTATCACGTCCGACGGGATGCCCCATGTCGACAACGGCATATTACCACCTTTTCAACAGCGTTTCTATTGCGGCAAAAGTGATAGGCGAACCGTTTTATTACCCCGATGCCAGCCCCGCCATACTGTACGGCGGCCTCGGGCACACATTTTCCCTGCAGCTAGTGCGTGCCTTCGACGGTGAAGGCATTCTTCTGGACCCCATCGGAAGATTCACGTCTTGGTGGACTCCCGAGTTTAGGAAGGAATACGCGAGTCGGGAGAAGTGCGGCGCAAGTTCGGGAAGCAATATCTTTCCCGAAGTTCCCGCCATGGAAATTGCGTTCCGCGCGTACAAGGCGACGAGGGATCCGCTCGCACCTCGTGGACTCTATTTACATGACCCCTTTTCGGCGGACCAGGTATTCTTCATGAGTCTTTGCCGCGCGTCGTGTAAACAGGTGGACGGCTCGAAGGGTTCCGAGAGTTGCAACAAGGCCGTGAGAAACAGTATTGACTTCGCCGAAGCCTTCTCGTGCCCCGTGGGGTCTGCAATGAACCCGATTTTCAAATGTTCTTTCTTTGGAGACGTAAACGATAGTTCTGCTAATCGGGAACTGTAAATACATTGAGGAAGTGCCGTCTTTCTTGAACAGAAGTTTTGTTTTATAATATTTACTATCCTAAATAAAGCGTTATGGTCTCAGCTACATCGGCTGGACACAAACCACTGAAAATACAATATGGCTTGTTATTGTTGTTGTTTTCCCCCTCAAACTGTTTTTTGGGGTGCTGGCATTGACGTCCTTCTGACGTTCTGGCCAGCATTGTGCACTCTTTTCAAAAGCATAAAAAAAAAACAAAAAAAAAACGCGCGTTTCTCCTAAAGCGGTTTTGAAACAATTTCCCTATCGTTCGTTAACTGTTACTCCGAATCACTCACTAACGTTAATAACCGAATAAACTTGCCTTAGTTTTAGAGCGCAGCTGTTAGGCGCGCGTTTCCGGCTTGAGCGGCGTCGGCGTCAGCGTAACCATAACGCGTCGGCGTAACGCGTCGGCGTGACGCGTTGGCGTCGCCGTCGGCGTAACCGTAACGCGTCGGCGTCGCCGTCGGCATAACCGCGCGGTGCATTATTGGACGTTTCCCTTAATGCACCACGCGGGAGGGAGGAGGGGGAGGGGGAGAAGGAGGGGGAGGAGGTGGGAGGAGGAAGGAGAAGGAGGACGAAGAGAAAGGGGGAGGAGGAGGGAGGATGAGAAGAGGGGAGGAGGCGAGGAGCACAGGAGGAGTAGGTGAGGATGGAGGAGGAGAGGGTACGGATGAGGAGGAGGGGCATACAGTCCCCTCCGTGAACTCCCCTCCTCCTCCTCAAGAGCTGCGCTCTAATTCGGCATTACAGGGAGCTGCAAACGTCTTTAATTTTTTTTTCTAAGCAATGTAGTCGGCAAAGAAATTCGAAAAAAATTAGCCATCGTTCATCCCCTTAACGCGCAGCCAGAACAAGCGGCCACGCGACTTGGTGCCTATCCTATGCCGCCAATTAGCACCACGCCAATGTTAATCATAGCCACGCGGTGGGGTCGGCAAAGTGAAAAACGCGTTCTGAGTTCCTGGCATTGTTAAATTTCGGCTATGTCTCATCACCGCAGTAACTGGACACGAGCCACTACCCGAGTGTCCGCCGAAGCACTGATTGTTACGAGCCGAAGTGGAGGGCTCACGCAGTTCTCGTGTCCAATCCATGAGCTTCGTTCGATTGTCGTCATGCGGTAGGTTTCGATCCCACAATTACGTCATCAAGATTTTGCGAAGGCAGTACTAAAAAAAAGAAAAAAAGTTCCCTTTTATCTTTGTAATTTCACCAGGACCGAGAAGCTTCTGAATCAGTGGCGGTCAGTGCGAGCATACTTGGGGCAGACTATACTCTGTTTGAGCTTATGATGTACCGCAGGAAAGGCTACAATTGCGAGCTCCTTGCTCGGGGCACATCTCGGCGGCACAAGCTCTCGCGCATTAAGGGCAGCTACCAATGCTATGAGCTCGCGCTTCTAGCCTTCGCTGCAGTACAGCATAAGGTGAAACGGAGTATAGGACCAGCACACTTTTGCAAAGTCATTACCATTCCAACCCGATATTGTTTCATGGCCCCTTTAAGTTTTATACTTAATGCCAATTGCCTTTGCAAGTTCCATTCTAAAACTTGCGCGTTTTCCCCAGTTAAGGCAATCTACTAAACTTCCATAAATCCGTCACCGCGCGCGTTGCATTTTGGGAACCTGTGGTCTAGGAGCGCAGCTTGCTTGCCACTGATTCCCACACTGCATAATGTGGCATTACGCCACGATGAGGCGATTTGAGTTTTGAAATAAGTCTATTGAAATATATTGCATATATGTTATACTCTTTTAAATGCGATAGCATTAAAAAATTGTAACGCATCTGTAATCTACGTGCGTCGCCCAAAGAAAGCGATGCAGTCCGAAGCGTGGTTGTGCTCGCAGCTGCCGAGACCTGCACAGGGTGTGTTCTATCTTTAGTTTAATCGTAATGTCTCAGTGTAATGTCCGATATCGAGTTGAGGACGTACAAGCGGGTCTTGCAGTGAACACTCGTAATGGTAGAGGAATAAATAACGCTAAGAACAATGAGTCGCCGAGCGGGTTTACAAGTACCTCCCTCGCTATCGAGAGGCGGGGGGGTTCGTTGTTCTGGAACGCTGTGTTTCAGGAGTGCATTTATGTCACTGCCCGAGAGCCGCCTACGCTCGTGTAATAAAACAACGTGAAACACGCAAAAGCCTTAAGATCTGAAAAAAAAAAAATATATATATATATATATATATATATATATTTTTTTTTTTTTTTCAGCGCTCGCCTTAACAAAGAAGCCGTAAATACAATGCTACATTTATTAAACTTTGTTCGGCCGTAGAGCGCGCCAATTCACTTCAAATACCAGGCTTTGTCTACCTTAAAAAAAAGATAGTAAAAAAAACAAAAAAAAAAAACTCACGAAGACTGGTATTATTTATTTCAGACAGCCACACAAAATATTCACGCCCAAAAAATGGCTACGGTAAAAAGATATAGTCGTGCGTTCTCCTTGTCCAATAACGTTATATCCTCTGAACTATAGTACATGATTAGAAAAAGAGCCGAACTTCCCCATGCGTGCGGCCGCCACCCACGTGTGTCATTTGAGCTCGATGTCCTCGCCAGCCGCTGGAATTGGTCCATGGGCGGTGCGCTCAGTTACGCGCCGGAGAATACGTTTGCATATTTTTCTTGTTTCGTTTGGTTTTCTGTCTCGAAGTTGGCGATGCGATGATCAGTTGAAACCATTTTATGCACTCTGCGTGAACTGGCAGTAATTTCACAATTTGCTAGTGTGTAAAAATAAGCTCTACTTCGTATTACTTTCAACACGGACGGTAACGAGGGCAAGCACGAGTTTCTTCGACCTATATAAGTCGAGACATTTAATGGGTAGGAGATCGAACTATAGGGGTCGCTTCATCGAGCTTGTTGTCCCCAAAGCCCGGTGTTTACGAACGCAGTATGACAAAGAAATCGAACGTCGCCTAGCACGATCTGGGCACGAGCGCGTCGCTTTGACCAGTGCTTTGGTCGCACAAGGATCGGTCTTCGAATGGCCATCTTCGATTTCTCTGATAAAAAACAAACGAGAAAATTCGGCTTGTTATCCCCACGACTGAAGCGTACAGCTAGAGGCGTGACTGTTCGATCTCTTCCCCTATAGCAATCGTCTTGGCTTCGCTCGCGCTCGTTCAGCGGAAGTACCAACGAAGTTAATTCGATCGCGTTATTATACCCTTATCTGCGGTTCATGTTACGGTGAGGTATCTATTCTATCGTGAAGCGGTTCTTTTGCACGCTAAGCGTTTGCGAGCAGATACTTGCAATTGCCTTATCAACATTCATGATATTAAGTTACCCCTTAAAGATAACAAACAAAAAACAGAAACGGCAATATATACGTATCTTTATATAACACAAACTATACTCCGTTCATCGTTAGACTGAGACTAGAAGCTCCGCCTTCAGCGCGAGCTCGCTGGCTTCCGCAGTACTTTGGCTGCGCGTGCCTGCGCGTTCACACTTGGGTTAGAAAGGGCAGAAAGCTCGCGCTGAAGGCGGAGCTTCTAGTCTCAGGTTAAGGGTGAACGGAGTATAGATGTTCTTTGCGTGTGCGTGTGTTTGCCTGTTAATAATTATAAGGCTGGTTCACACAGCACTGTTTTCGTACGTTACGTATAATCCACCGAAAAGTTCGTGTCTCGAATGTCGCCTGCCATGATATCTCCTCAAACTGGTAGCTACACTTAATATGAAGCACAGATGTTCCGGTGACTTGCGTAGTAAGCAGACGTAAGCTTTCGTAACGTCACATTTCGTAAACAAAGACGGGGTTGTGTGAACCAGTCTTTGTACGGGTGATGATCAAGACGCTGATTACAAAGCACGTTTTATGTTCCGGAACTTTCTTTTGTGTCGTTAGCAGTGAATTCGAATAACATACCGCATTTATTTGTAAGTTACCTCGAAGATCGCAATATTCTAACTTCTTGACTTTCTGTTTTAGCGTTTGCATCAGTATTTATAAGTTTTTTTATGCCCTATTTGCCAAACACGTGCGTTGCGGCGGCGGCTTATCAGGAAAAAGACGTGTGCGATTTTGAAATATTTACATCCGTACCCAGCTACTGTCACTTAGCGCTATAGCGAGATACTGTAGCGATGCTATATTCGTGGTTCGTAAAATGTCATAAAATGCAATATTTTGGCCCCAAATTGGTGAACCAAACGGCAGAAGATACGCCTGGACGACTTGAGTCGCCCATTGTATTTGTACCGTGCGTGCGCGGTTTGACATATTTGAAATTTCCTATGATGGTTACCATCGACAGTATTCGGATCGGCGCCTTGGAAGTATGACCACAACCTCAAAACCGTTGGCAAAATACAACGCAAAATTTGCGACGTGAAACTGCAGATAGTTGTATTTCATCGTCATCATGTAGGCCCTTTTCATGACGAACACCACCAGGCGCTGCTCCAGTCTTTGGCGTCCCGGAGAACTAAAAATAATAAACAAAACCCACTTTAACAACGCTGCTTGAAATGCGAATGGAACGTTTAACCACCGATTTTCCTGGAAAACTATAAAAAACAAAAAAGCGCGAGATCTGTTCCAAATTTCCGAATATTCTTGTAAGCCAACTTGCCTCTTCCAAGACCTTAGATTGTAGAGCCAAAGGCCCTCGTTAAATTTCCAACTTTTCTGTCCGTGCAGCATTTATGCTTTCTATCACTTCTGAAATGAACAAGATCGACAGGCTTGCAAAGATGGAACGACCGAAAGTCGCATGGGAAGCAGGCGGCAGTTGATGTCTGTAAGACATTTTTTTTCCCTTCGTTCTGTGTCACGTGGGTTCCGTATCTGGTATGCGGGAGGAGAAAGTAATAAGGCATTTCGACCTGGAATATACGAGAAATTATAGGTAAGGCAAAACAAGAATGTGCGACAATCACGCATTTTGTCTGAACGCCTGCCAGCGGCGTAGAGAGACCAAAACGATGTTCTATCGCACACTAGAAG